GGTGGGAGGGGGGGAATTCAAGCGGTCGGAGCACCGAGAACGGTGCCGCTGACGGATCCGAGATTCAGACAAAGAGGACGAAGCCCGGCGAGAGCGCCAGTCGGGAGGGCGCGTGACAAAGCTACTTACACGCAGGCGAAAAGTTCAATCCGTGCTGTACGTTCTGGCGAGCTCGACAAGCTACTTACTCACAAAGCAGTCGTGACGTATTTAGAAGTACTTAAAGTCAAAACTTCATGGTGTGCACGGCGAAAGTAATTTCCAGGCCTTTTCATCCTTATTGTCTGCGCTTCACATGAAAAGTTATTATGATATAAATACCTGCGCGTGTTGACATTGTGTACGTGTTTATCGCGGGTTGTTGCGAAAAGCACTTCATTTTAATGAACCGGCCGTGATGAAGCAAAGTTGTGTGGAGACCACTTAACGAAAAATGTGATACGAAAAGGCAGCCCAGCTATATAGTGAGTCTCAATGCAAATTAGTTTTACATGTTCAACAATATAATAATTAAAAATATGACATTCTATTGCAAGAAAAACAGCATTTCCGGTTTGCTTTTTTACCAGTACATGTAATGTGAAAATTGAAGAAATAGTATACGAGTTACAACTTAACCGGAGTCATTATTTAACAGTTTTGACGGAATAGTAATAATATCGTTGAAATTAAATTCTAATAATAGGGAATAAAGGCCTAATTATATAAACGACAGCCATGCCGTGACTACGAATGTTAATTAAAATTCCGAAGCACGGGAATGCATGATGTCGAGGAGTGTTTTTTTCAAAAACAATATTTTTAATTAATCAAGTGTAGAGCAAATTAATATTTCAATGTTAATTTATTCTCTGAATTACTATACACAATGGCGTGAATTTTCTTCGTTTACTGCAGGTATTATTTTCATATCTGAAAAAAAAAACAGAACCGTAAATATGGAAAGTACTGTAAGACAGAGGTGACAATAGGGAATAGCAGTAAAATAAAATGAATATCTAAAACCAAAAACCACACAAAGACTTCTATTCATTACCCATTACCGAGACATACTTTGGTCAGCAAGAGTATATTAGCGGCGTGTCTTGCCATAATATGACTTTTACAAACGGCTGAAAATTTGTTTCATAAGATATGTTATACAAAATAGCCAGAACTCTACTACGAAACGGGTTAAAAAGAACATTGAAATATGCTCTGGTTCACGTACGACAGGACACTACCCAAGAAATGAAATTATTGCGACACATTGATGTTGAGAAATGTTATTCATGGTCAAGTCAGGGAGGAAAACTGAGAATTAAAAGAACCGACCATACGTTACGTAACGCAAAATTCGAGTATTTCGAACACCCTTTTTCCACCTGCAACGCGCGCATGAACTCCCGAAAAAATTACGCAAGGCGACATCAATCTCTCCTTTACAATAAGTAAAAATAAATTACGTAACAATAGAAGAAAGATGAATTTATTTTATTTGCACTATACATTAAAATGTACGATGAAGCCACAATTAGTTGACGATGCTGATTGCTACTGACAATATTTGGACCACTTGAGTAAACGAAGGACTTACAAAAGGCCGTGAATATGCTGGCGTGCATTTATTATCATTTTAATGTTTTGGTATAAGACTGTATAAAAGGAATTACTTCAGTCAAAGTTGAAAAATTAAAAAGATCATTGTTACCTAACACGAAATTAACCCTATGTAACACAACACCACTCTGCATTAAACCCCTCCTCAATTAGCGTAAAATGTGGACGAAATTCGCCCAGCACAAATTACATCTTAAAGCAAATACTTCGCCATAAAAATTCTTAGTAGAAAAAAATTTACATTTTTGAGATCCTTATTTTTGTTTTAAGGTAGTACTGTCAAATGATTTCTTACGTCAATGCAAAAAAACAACAACAAAAAACAAAAAAAAAACGCGGCATCATAAAATCATACATCAAACCAAACATCAAATTACGTAATCTCCTCTGAAATGCGCAGCGAGGCAACTTCGAACATCAATAGGGAAAAATACCAACCTTTTTTCAGTTCTGGTAGGTCTTGCCGCTATCTACATTTCGCTGTAGACCGGCAGCGGTAGCTTTCATTGATGTTATCCATGCGCACGTATGAGACCATATTTCTCCTAAATGAAGACCAATAGCGTATTCTTTTTTTACCCGTTGGACTACGCTTGTGTGGCTCCACCTCCATTCCCTAGGGCGTGGTGGTACGACCATTCAAAAACGACCCAGATGAATATTTGCAATGCAAACTGTAAATGCATTAACGCCTCCTTAAATATTGTGTTGCGGAAAAAGAGGATATAAAGAATGTACTCCGTAATACATGCCAGTAGTTTTTTCGTATACTATTTATACAAATGATTTGCGTACATATTTTTTTCAAAAAATTGGTTTCATTGCTGCAAAATTCGCATCACATACATTTGATTTACTGAAAAGAATACTGATAATTCATTCAGATAAATCAAAATGGGGAACAATGATTCATGAAAATGTGACAAAACTGATATATTACTTCATTTAAGCATGTAAATTTCTCATTGTCAGCGAAGTTAAAAGTGTTGCTTCCGACGGCTGAAGACAGGATTTCTAATGCATTAAGTAATATGTCATTAGTATTAGTTATGATTGCTTATGATTCGTAATCATCTGCGAAAAAAGAAAATTGATAGGCAATGAAAAATGCAAATTTGGTTTCAAATTTTATTTGTTGTTCATACAGTGTTAAAATAAATCATCCATTTTAAGATATATTTCAATATCATCCAGAACAATATGGTGCCAAGCTACCTTTCCAGTTCTAGAAAGAAAACCGAACAGTGAAACGCAGAAGCAAGAGTAATAAAGGAGTAGGTGATGTATACATTCAAGTGGTCAACTGAACTGAAACCACTTCGCTAAAAACAAAACTTTCAATGGTATATACAAGTATACCGAAATCCATTTTCATCTCGCACTCTCCATAATGGAAAGGTTCATATGCATTTTGCACAAACACGTGAGACAGATTGAAAAATTTACAAAAGTGTGATCATGAGTTTGTGCAGGACATTCTGAGCAGACGGAATCTTGAATAAACTAGAGCACCAAACTGTACATCCAGCACGTGCCACTTGTTAAAGTGCAAGATAAAATGTTTGAGGTTGTATGTAAATAACTTTAAGAGTACAATGAAATGCTCAATAACAATAAGTAACAACAAAATGCAAAGAATAAAATTGTGCATGGGATCACGTTAAATTTTACAACGACGGTAAGTACACAGCGTGCTCTAGGAAAAAGGTGATCAAGATAAAACAGGTACATGCTTCTGCTAGAATTTATGGTGCTTCCAAAATAAGTGTTCCCAGCTGATTCAAAAAAAGCGATAAAATAAAGAACAAAAACCTATAGAAATCCCTCAATTGTTAATTTAAATTTGGCCTCTTTACAACGTTTATACACGGCACATATCGATTGTTTCACGTTTCAAACATGTGACATGCTCCCAGAAGAACATGCAACAAAACTTTTGTTGTTGACAGATTGTACAAATCGTGATGGACATATGTTTCTTCCAAACACGTTAACACACACTCGGCACAGCGAACAAGATTTTTTCGAACATACACGATGTTCACATATGCAGGAATGTTACAAGTTGAAAACTGTTTAAAAAGTCAAACACCACTTCAGTTTATTGTAAATATTTCCCACCTGACAATACAGCATGTTTATAAATGATACAAGACGAAATCCCCTAACATAAATTGAAGGTAGTTTTATATATAAACTAGCCACGACCGAGTAGATGGATCCAATTATAGTTGTCAACATGTGCTATGTCACTAACATCTCCATTCTTTACAAGTAAAATTACAACAATCAATATAATCTCTCCTAGAAAAGAATTTGAGCCACGCGTTCACGTCAAGCTGTCACGGTTGGTCGCGTTCCAACGATTCTTTGGCAAATGTCGAGAGGTCAACGAAGCTGCGAGACTTTCAAACCCACGACACAAGCACGAACGCACTTTCAGCCCTGACACCTCTCTGCCTGGTGCGAGCGTGATCATTGGTCACATATCGAAGATCTAAGGGCAGTTTTTTGTTAGAGAATCGATGAAAAATTGCCTCTCAACCGATTCTCAGTAAACTCTTATGAATTCGAGGTCTTAAATATCGCATAATTAATTGAAATTTTGAATTCATTAACAATGTTTTATATCTTCTTGGAACTACATAAAACACTTATTCAATTAACCAGTAACGAGCTGTTTCATAACTGACGTGTTTTATGAATTACAAAGGAAAATCATTTAATATCGAATACATTTATCGTTCATAAATTTAAAATACCGTAGGAACATTTCTTTGTTCGTTTATACATTTTATATCAATTAAATTGTAGCTTCGAGTTACCAAAATGTTACTTCAAAAATTCAAAGCAAACATGAATTTTGTAAGTTTCCAATTCCAAAAGGAACATTTTTAGTGTCATTTATTCGATATCAAGTTCATCAGAATTCGCTGTACATCCAAATAAGAGAGAAGGAAAAAGAACGTAAAAGGTTATAAACGCAAGTATATGCAACCCGCAATGCCCATTGGATCGACCAGAAATGCTTCTTGGCGTCGTTCGCAGAAAGGCGCTTGGGAGAGGGGGAGAGAGAGAGGAGTGTTTGCATCGTGGTGGGAGATTCGCCTCGCGGCCTCGTCGTGGCGGGGTGTCTACCTGCCTAACAACTTGCCCTTTCTTGCCCCGCGCCGCTCTGCTGAGCAAACACCTTCATCTCGGGAAGATTACAGTAATGAATTTCAAATTTGTGGCGTTCGGGTGCAAATTATGGTGCCTGACGTTTCACGTTTTGCTGGGGAATGCAACATGAAATGAAGGCTTTAAACGTAACGAGAGGCACAAGCCACAAGGTATGAGCAAATTATACATGCCATTATTTTGTTTACTTTAGATTCCCTTGGGATACAGACAGATCTTTGTTCATAAAAGTCAATAATATAATGTCGTCCAACATGTGTCATTATGTCTAAAAGTCTCTGTTTTTGAACAGCAATGGAAGATACAGGTAAGCACTTCTGTTCAACTCCCAAATCCCTGGACGTTTTCCGACAGATTCTAGTACATATCGAAACTGCTTTAATTTTTTTTTGAGCTTTGAAACACGAATTATTATGTAATGTGATGTCATTTGTTGAACTAATAAGTTTAACTTCGAATTGATAACTTTTGTACTTAGCCACTTTTTTAAGTGAATGGTTGCTGTCTTGAAAATTGAACTGATTAATTTCAATGAGCTTGAAATGAGCAATGAAGGCTTAGAAATAGTGATCGATCATTTGATTAAACTTAACTGACATCGAAGTGATATCGAACTTACTATTTAACGTGTTGAGAATATTAAATAATATATAAATATTATAAAATCCACAAATAATTTTCAAGAAAACAATACTAGGTAGTTTTACTTTCTTAAATTTAGGAAATTTACAAAACATTGTTCTTATAATAAATGTGCCCCTCTTTCCTAAATATGGCAGATTCTAAAAACTTATAAACTATGCGCGCAAGTAAATAGTTAACACGTCTCTGTAATTTCCTTATTCGGAAGTTAGAATTTTGAATTGTATTCCAAGGAGTAATTGAGATGGAATAATATTCAGATTATAGAGAAAAAAAGAAAATTTATTATCGCTGTGGCAATTTGAAAACTTTCATTCAATAATTGCAAATGTTCAGCAGAGCAGCGGTTAGGCGATTTGGAAGGTGTAATTGATTACTTCACGCCAGGCGTGACGACAACCTGTGAACCATCTTCTACTCATCGCGATGAACAGACGCCATCCAGCGAATTCAGCACCATTTTCTTTTTACTTTCCTCTCTAGTGATTATCGGCTCGCTGTCGTGGACGCATTTATGTACTTGCAAATTATATAAAAATATTCATTCATTCGCGCATATTTGGAGAGATGACAAAAAAATTCATGCAAAGTAAAATTCTCATAACACTTTTTCAAATATATAATTTGTTGAGATGTTCTAGAAATGCGTAGACACCCCGCTGTTTGGTATTTTTCATAATCATTACATAATCTACTAGCTTCCTAGGTAATTTTTGTATCTCCTCCTAAGGTAGACAACCTTTTTCTCTTATATTCTAGAAGCCACTGTAAAAATGTGTTGCCATATACAACAGGCAAATATGTACAACAATAATTCCAACATTTGTCTTTTAAAGATTCAAATCTATATCAGAAAGTTCGCAACATTTTTTTTATCAATCGTAATGCGGCAATCAGTGTCCAAATACTTCTCTTTGTGATGAGTTCGTCTTGATTTCACAACATCATTGATAATTATTGAGGATTTATCAAGAAATTTTGTCATTTCGCGTTATTATTTTAGTTGTGTTATTGAACATATCATTTTTCATACAATTTTCGATTTTCATTAAGGTAAAGTAGGCTCAGTTATGTTCAAGAACACAGATATTGCCCGAACGAAATGACAAAATCCAAACTCAAAAATTAAATTTTCCTCGAATTCACGTCTTTACAAATTCACTAATCTTATTTCATTTTTTCTCTATTTTTTTTAAACTTGTATTCTCCTCACATGACTAGTTTTTTAAGTCTTCCATGATTCTTGGGCGCCCACATTTTCTTGCATCGGGATCTACAATTCTCTTTATTTAAAAAACGGAAACACTGAACACAGAACGCTGTTGCCACTGCCTCTGCCGTTGCTTCTGCTCCTCGCCGCCGCGCTGGCGACGGCGCCGCCGCGATCCTGGAGCTATCTGGCGGCAGCGCAGCCAAGCGCCAGCAGGAGCAGCGCCGGCAGGCAGCAGGTCGGCCGCATAGCGCTCCGCGCGGCGTTGGGCGAGGTGACTGGCCACCGAGAAAGAAAAGAGAGCAGAACATATACCAGATGTTTGATTCAAGTCGGTCAAAGTATTTTACAACACGTGTTCCCTGGCCTCCACCTAAACTTTCTCTAGGGGGGTTTATTGGACGGACTTCAAATGTGAGGGACACGAACTGGGGGAATAGAGGTAGGAGGGGTCGACAGAAGAAGTGAAAATTTCCAGCCCAACACCAACTATATAAAGTAAGTTCTCTACAAGTTTCTACGGGGATCGTTCTCGACGACTGTCGCCACGAAGGAAGAAAATTTTATAAATTTTCTTTTGGGTTTGGAAAGGTCTCTGAATAATACGTGCCCCAAGCAAGAGACATAGAACTCTTTGTCTTGAACCAGTGTTTTACTCAATTAGAAGACACTTTAAAATTAAAAGAAAAGTTATATAATTCTTTAAAGTCTTCGAGATTTGAAAAACATACAGTAATGTTTAGGTGTTGTAATAATCCTTTAAAATTACACTTTATTAATGAAAAGATGGCAGAAGTACATGGTGGACGCATTGGCAATTAAAGTACATGTTACTACTAAGTAACCTTCCATATTACTGCATTCATCCAATATTACATGTTTTTGTTTAAAGCAAGAAGTCTGAGACATAGAAGGCTCTAACGAGAAGCCATTAATATATGCAATCACTAACATTTCATTTTTGGGGGTGATAACATACATTGCGCGTTATTACAAGGATATTTCAAAAGTAATAAACAGTTTCCCAGAACCCAAAGATTACATTTTACGAAAAAATACTTTCCCCAATTACAAATATCACACTGGATCCCGAAAGCTCACATTAATCTCAGGCCATATTACAGAAACTAATGCTGCTACAACATATATATTCTCACATTATTTGTAGTGGTATATTATAATTCTAAATGAACTGTTGAATTCAACTGTTCAATTGATGTGTTTCAAACTCTCCGAAATATTTGCACGGCCTCGAATTCGAACATGCAAAATCTGCACAGGTTTCGCAAAAAACGGCTCCATTAATGTACACGACTATTTGTAAACAAACCGCGCTCCCATCAACAGGAAAGTTGAATTTTGAAAATATCGAAATTTCAAAGGATTTAATGAAAATTGGGCATTTAGTTAATGAAATATTTCTCTACTTAACTAAAAATTTGAAATAAAATGGGTTGTGTTGATAGAACTTCATTTGATTGCTAAAATTGTTATTATTTCACTGAAAATTACAATATTACAAAAATATATTCAAGAAATCGTAAATTACATTAGAACATATAATTTTGAAGGGCAAATTTCATGGAGAAAAAATATTAATTTCAGAAAATTCAAAGGAAATACTGGCAATGTGATCTCCAATTTTAGTGTGCGTGCCTACAATATTCGAAAAAATTAAGGAAAAGGTTTAATGCCATTGTTGAGAAAATGTTCGAAAATGCCGCCGAGGTTTCATATAGTGTAATCTAAAAAATAAACAATTGTCTGAAATTCAAAGGGGACCGCCACATCAGCCAGATCGATTGAGGAATATCCGTTTTAGTGCAAATCCTATGTACGTTTGAGGCCTTAAGAGTTATTCACAAACGGTAGAGGAGCAAGAAAATCTTTTTCCGGCCTCTGTGAGTCATAAAACGTTTTGTTGTCAGAAAATAGGTCTCTTTACCTTTGGTACAATATACGTGTTCTTCATATTCGAAGTAAATTAGAGAAAAAAATTGTGAATGTGTTCTTTGTCTTTTAGTATGATACAGGTTTTATTATATAAAATACTACAGTATTAGAATAACACCAAGAAAAGTAAAGAAAACTATTTTCAAAATAAGTTTTCTATTAGAAGTTTAATGCGTGGAGATTAAAGAAGAGGTTCTCTTATCCGGATAATATTAACTAATAAACTGAAAAGCTATAACGCCACAACTATAAGTTATACAAGATGATCACACTAAAATAAGGTACAGGAAAGATAAACCTTGAAAGAAAGTACTATTTTACTAAGCCAAGATTATGCTTAACGTTCAACTGCAATTCAAGTACATTTTTAACACCTGTATAAAAACATGAAACATTTAATTGATGCTTCATCAATGGAAATATGCACTCAAGGTTCCTTACAAATTTCGCGGCAACTAATTTTGCTTGAACTCTAATTCCTCCATAAAATTCGTGAAGGAGGATATAAAAGCTTTTACTGAGTGGGGAGAAGGATTCTAAAGAAAAAGAGTTCTTTCTGAGATTAAAACCACTAGAGGCAAGTCGGGGTTACTTTGTTCCCCTTCGGAACCCGCCGTGCCCCTTTCCAAGTTTGTTCGATTCCGCGAAGCCAGCCCGCACGGATTTATGCGACGTTGTACCCAAACTGAGCAGTGTAATTGAAAATATTACTCTTTTACGTAAATTAAAAAAGTTTTTTATTTTTAGATTCACGAGATGCATAATTGGCGCCAGGGTGCGTGGCGGGGAGGGCGGGGAGGGGATTCGGTCGTGCGCCAGGACGCTCGCGTCGGGGAGGGGAAAGGGGCCCTGTAGGGGATGGGAACGGAAGCGAAAGAGGGAAGGGGTGGAGAAGCGGTGGAAGGAGCCGTAGGCTGCCGCTGCGTGCGGGCGGCGATGAATGGAGTAGGGGGGAGGAAGGGGCGTGCAGCGGCAAGTATGGGCAAGGGCATGGGTGTGGGCCGGGCTAGGTAAGGGAAGAGGACAGAGTGGGAGCGGCACAGCGCACTGATAGTCGAGAGCGGAGTGGAATTGGGTGCAGGGGATGAAATGGGGGTGGCACAGGGAGGGCCTCGGGGATAATGTTCAAGATGGAGGGGCGGGCGCGGGGCGGCGGCGGGGGCGGCCGCGGGGGCGCGCGGGGGCGGCGCGGGGGCGGCGCGGGGGCGGCGCGGGGGCGGCGCGGGGGGCGGGCGCGGGCGGCGCGGGGGCGGGCGGGGCGGCGCGGGGGCGGCGCGGGGGCGGCGGCGGGGGCGGCGCGGGGGCGGCGCGGGGGCGGCCGCGGGGGCGGCGCGGGGGCGGCGCGGGGGCGGCGCCGGGGGCGGCGCGGGGGCGGCTGCGGGGGCGGCGCGGGCGGCGTCGGGGGCGGCGCGGGGGCGGCGCGGGGGCGGCGCGGGGGCGGCGCGGGGGCGGCGCGGGGGCGGCGCGGGGGCGGCGGCGGGGCGGCGCGGGGGCGGCGCGGGGGCGGCGCCGGGGGGCGGCGCCGGGGGCGGCGCGGGGGCGGCGCGGGGGCGGCGGCGGGGCGGCGGGGGCGGCGGCGGGGCGGCGCGGGGCGGTGTGGGGGCGAGTCCGGGGCGGCTGCAGGCGGTCGAAGAGCAGAGGGGCGGGACAGAGGCGGCGCGAGGGCGCCGAGGGACCCTGGCTGGCGCCACGGCGACCCGACCCGCTCGGGACCAGGAAGTTCCTGAGAGGCAATATTTTCAGTGTTAAAAGTGAGGTCGGATCCGCCCCCGTCGCCGCCCCCGTCGCCGCCGCCGCCGCCGCTATCTCTTTAACATTTCCCGGCGGCCCCGCCCCGCCGCCCTTCCGCAGCCCTGGCGCTCCCTGTGTAATCCGCAGCGCGATCTGAAGGCGGTCACAACTCCACGCGCCTCTTCCTCTCTTCCTTCTCCGCCCGCCTGAATCATCTCTTCGCCTTTATCAATGGCATTTTCCTTCCCTCTCCACGCTTTCTTTCTATTCTTATCTCCTGATTACCTTACCCATTTCCATTATATTCTTTCCTTATTCAAATCCTCTCTAAATCCTACTTTTCTCGTGCGTATCATAGAAATCCACCACAATTATTCTTAGTCTTAAAATCTGCTCTCCATCCGTTTTACATTTCTGACATCTTTTTCAATCCAACATTCAACGCACCATACATTATTTTCCAACATTATTTCTTTCAAGTTTTTCTAATTCTTTCAACCCTTTGTCTGCGTCTTCGAATATGTCTTTATTAACCATTCCGTAGATCTGCGAATCTATCTTCGCAGTCCATCTAATCGTTATCACATTCATTTCATTGCGCCTCGCCCTCTTCCTTCTCCTTGCGTCTTTCCTCCTCTCGCTCGTGACCTGAACTCCGCTCGCCCGCCGTCGCCGCCGCGTCGCCCAGGAGCGCGGGAGGTCGTTCGCCGGCCGCCCTCCGTCGCCCTGCGACCCCACCCGCGCCCTCGGCGACGCGCGGACATCACCGGCGGCTGCGACCTGATTTAGAATCAATATGTTCCGCCTCCCGTGCCTCCGCCGCTCGCCCCGGATTCCTCTTGAGGCGATGGCCACGGTGGAGACGGTGACGGAGATGATAGCTGTGGCGGCGGCGGCTGCGAGGGCGGCGGTGGTCGCTAGGTAGGGGTGGGCGGGGGTAGGGGTGGCGTCGGCGGACGCGGCGAGGGTGGCGGAGACTGAGGGCGGCGGCTAGAGCACGGCGCCACGCCTTGCATATGGGATCGCGAGCGTCCTTTTCGTTTACTGGCCTATTTGCGAGATGACTGGGTCACAGACGGGGCCAGGTGAGCGCTGACGCGGGCGTCTTGGCTCCGCGAGTCCCCCTCCCCCTGCTCCGCGCCGGAGCAGCGCAGCGGAGCCGTAAAAAGTTATCAGCTCTACGGTTATCTCAGAACGGGTTTCTTTGATATGCATGTTACATTTTCCTTACAAGGAAGCTGGTTCCTCACTATAGATTCTGGAAGTAGAATAAGGGGTGGCTTGTGTAAAAATTGAGGATCGAATATCAATTTACTAACAAGAAAGTGACATACATTCATGATTACGCACTCTCTCTACTTACATACAAAGATTACTCTTATGTACTAATGTATCTGCAAAATGTGTTGTATATCTAGTTTTTTTGGGTTCCTAAAACCAATTACCAGTTAATGTCTGCAATACACACGGATACTGAAGTACAGGTAATTCCAAAAAATAACAAACACAAAGTATTCTTTATATGTTAAGTGATAATACATACAAAGTAGAAGTTCAGCAACATTTGATTTACTTTGTCAAGCCATCGCAGGAA